TCTGAGCAGACAAGTTACGTGTAGGCTCACTGCTGAGCGGTGTCAGCAGTGCTGGTGGTTGACCTGTTACTGCACTAAAATGCTTCCCAACTCTTTTTCCCTGTTCTCCCCCACATTTCCTGAATTCCCTGAAGGACCTAAGAGAGTGATTTCTTTTTAATATATCATTTCATCCATGATATTACCCCAACAAATATTATTCAAGGTGCATCTTTTTTTAACTCCTCGTCGTGGATTTCCCACCGTTTCAAACCCTGTTTTTCTTAACAACTGGACTGGAGAGTTTTGCACTGATGGGCCTCTGAAATACCCAGCGAGATGTGTACTCTGAGATGAAAAATGGGTGAAATCAGCTTTCCAAAACATACATCTGTAGTTTTCAGTACATAAATCCCATGAACAGGACCTGCTGCCGGTCTTGTTTACAGCAGTAGCTCTTAACAGAGCTGTCCCAGAATAAATTCAGGGTAAACCCATAGAAAATCAGGCCTCAATCAAATGTTTCATCTCGAATTAGTGAACAACTTCTTTTTTTCCCCTTTAAAAGTGAATAATTGACTTCAGGCCTCACCTGATGGATGGAAATCATGATCTGAACTAAGGAAATCTGCCCTGGCTCAGCCAAAGGCTTTACCTGGCCCCAAATGCTTGTGCTGGAGCTCCTCGGTGCCAGCATCAAACAAACATTTAGGAACGCAAGATTCACTGAATTTTTGGTGCAACGACCTGAGAGACCGAAAGATTTCTAATCTTAAATGTTCTGACCTGTATCTACACCGTCCACACTGATCAAACAATAAAAAATCTGATTTTTACTGCAATTTCTTGAGCAGGATGGAACCCTTTGAACAGTTTTACCCTGCTGCAATCAAATGGATATTTGGGGTGTCTCTCCATTCACTCTGGCAAAAACAAGAGCTTGGGTTTGGTCCCCTGTGTCTTGTTTTTACATCCTATTGCTGTTCCCCTCAATTAAGTCTACATGACTCTTACCACAAATAATTAAAAAAAAAAAAGATTAAAAAAAAATCCAGCTAGTTTTTAATTCCTCTTTTGCACATTCTAAGAGGAAGCAGCCCTTCATCGTGCCCTCTGAGCTGCAGCTTGATATTTTTCCTTCCTCTTAGAATTTTCTAGCTCACATCCAGGCCGCTAGAATCGGCTGAAGCTTGTCACGGCCTGGGTTTATTTCTCTCGGTTTCTAATCACATTTGTCCTTTCCAAAAGGGGATCAGCAGCTCCTTCGCTCGATCAATCCCTGATTTTTTTATTCCCCAGCCACAGCCACCTCCCAGGATTTGGGAGAAGCCTCCAGTCTCAGGTATTTCCCAGCCTTTCCTTCCACAGGAGGCCGAGCTTCTCAATTCTGTGCTCTCCCTTTTGTCCCCAGTAACCCTTATTTTCACTTCCACATGCAAACTTCAAATCACTGGGTCAAAATTCCCTCTTTACGTCTCCATTTCAACTTCCTCTTCCCCGTTCCTCCCTGGCCCAGCCTGTTGGTTTTTTTTGTTCTCCTCTGGGTTCCAGGACGTGTTCCTGGGGCCTGTGCTCTGCTCAGCGTTGGGCTTTCCAAATTTCCCTGATTTTGGCCTAAATTAGTCCCTGCTCGAAATGCTTGAGCTCACACTCTTCTCCTTGCACAGGCTCACAATCAACTTCCAACCCAAGGCACCCACTTCTTAAAAAAACCACCTTAATGCAAGCACTTGTATTCCAGGCACAAGAAAGGCCAAAAAGGGGAAAAATCAGGGCATTGCCCTGCGATGCAAATGTTTGCACGTTCATTCAAGGAAATATATTCCGGGATTTTGAGAGTTCACAAAAGATTTTTGTGAATCCGGGGGCTGTTGGCCCTTCCAGAGCAAATATTTTAAAGCACCGTTTCCAAATCTCACCTCCATGAAAAAAAAAATCAGAAACAAGTATAAAGCTGACACAGCCCAGAAAAGAAACCGGAGTTAAAAGTCCCAGACAATAGAAACAGAAATACAAACATTTACATTAGAAAACAGACTAAACAGATAAGCTGAGACTTGCTGACTGGAGTTATCAAGGACTTTGTTGCACTCTTTACCTCTAAAAAATATGTGTTTCCAGAGAAGCGAGAAGAGTATCAGCACTGCGGGTCTGTCGGGTATCTAAATTACCTACTTCTCCCGCATCAGTCAAACCAAACGGGCCTTTTAAATTAAGATTCAGATTCTTTCTTAACAGCAGTTGGACAGTGAATTTCTATAGCAACTTGTTAGCTGTTATATAATAGTTTTTAAGTTTCTCAGAATCATTCTTTTTTAGGAAGAAAAAAAAGGTTTTTAAAATCAAAACAAATTTAATTTTGGTTTGAAACAATCTCCCGATCAAACACCACAAATGAATTTTTCTAGGGAAACATGAAGAGAAAACTCTCCGTCTCTCTCTTTTTGTCCATGCAATGGTTGTTAACAAACACCTGATAAAACTCAGCGCTTTTTTGTCAGGTGCGAAGGAACCACCTGACCCGAATTTTCTAATTCCTGGTCCAAATCATCTGGAAAAAAAAAAAAAAAAACCAAAACAACACCCCACGACTTTTAAAAACGCCTTTGCGAATATTCAGTATTTAGTATGAACCCAAGTAGCTTGTTTTACACGTGGCAAATTATTCCAGGACTCATTTCTGGGCAATCCACGGAGAGAGAGAATTTTGGGGGGAGGTGAAGACGAGGAGCAGGTGCCTCCCAGCCCACCATTCCAGGGGCTCATAAGGAAACCTTTTCCCGTCTTTTTTTGGGGGGGGATGTTTTGATTTATTACTTTTCTCTTGCATTGAGTTATCCCGCTGTTCCAAACTCCTGGAGAAGTTGCCGGTGAACGCGGCGGGGGCCGCGGGCAGGGGGGGAGCGGGGTTGGGCATCTCTCGAACCCCCCTGGCTTTGCTTCCCGCAATTTCCACAGAACCAGGACAGTCCCTGCCTCCAAAAACCCCCATTCCAGAGGAGAATCCCAAAATCGCTGGCAGGAGCGGGAAGAGCCACATCTCCTGTGCCTTCTCCATCCCGGTCCCCGCCGGGAGATGCCCGAGGCTGGGACAGGGACACGCGTGGCCCCGCGGGGACCCGCCACCGCGGCCTTTGGCCACAGGGATCCCCCAGGAAAAAAAAGGAACACCGGGAACTCCTCTTATCTCCCTTCCCGGCGGGGCGGAGCGGCTTTTCACTGCCTTCCAGGAGCTGAACTTCCCGAGCAATTAAGCAGGAGCCGCCGAGTGCGTGGGTAACAGTGTAATAATTAATCTAAATGTGGGAATTTAGGAAGTGACCCTGCCGATTAGTTCCTCCCATTTTCCCCAGACTCCTATCTGCGTAAAACAAGAAGACCAGACATAATAAAACTTTGCCCCGAAGCCGCCTCGTCAGCGGGATTTCCCGAAGCTCCGGGAGCTGAGCTGATTCCCTTCTCCCTCGTCTCTCCTCTCCCCAAAAAGACTCGGAAAAGACTCGAGTCTGGTGGCCTTCAAACACAAAGTTGTAACCGAGGCTGTCGGGGTTTGGGAGTGACCGCAAAAGAAAGCGCGAACCCGACAAATCCCCGTCCTAAATCTAACCCCGGGGCTCCTCGGCAGCTGCATGTCTGTGCGGCTCCCGCCTCGGATAAAAGGATAACGAGAATAATTACCTTTTCCTTTCCTTGCTCGGAAGCGTATCTGCAGCAGGAGCAAGAAAAGCAGCGCGTTCGAGAAGTCAGCGACAGACCCGAGTTAAAAAAAGAGCGTGACCGAGGGGAGGATAATTTTACTCCGAGGGGAGGATGATTTTACTCCGAGGGGAGGATAATTTTACTCGAACCCCGGTAACGGGAAGGCTGGAAAGCCCGACAAGCAGCCGGGAGGCACCGCTCGGCAGGGTCCCGGCGGCCCGTGACAGGAGGGAGCCGGGATGCCCTCTCCCCTTCCCTCCTCCCCATCTTTTCTCCTCGGATTTAGCAAGGAACTCTGGAAACTGGAGAACCCCGAGCGGGGC